GAGGCTCTTGAATTAGAACAACGTCGACACTCAGCTCGAATGCTCGGGCGAGTGCAATTTTCTGCGCCGGACCTCCTCTACCTACGTTTATTGACATAAAACGTAGAGTAGAGGAGTGGCGGAAAGGGGCCCGTGGGGTGCCCTTTATGACTGATTTTTGGAATAGTTGCCTCTGTGACCTCAGTCACATTTGGCGTCTCATCCGTCATAAGAACCTCATAGCTGTTGCTGGAGCTGTATTTCGGTGGAGCTGTTTTGGCTAATTCAGTTGCGGCCTTGATGTCGGCCTCTGCTCGTCTAACGGTAGTTTTTGCTCGGATCACTGCGTTTCACGGATCCGTAATTAGAATTTTAATACTAATTTTAATTCGTGATAAGATGAAGGGGTAGTTAATTAAAGACATCAATTTAATAATAGCTTCCCCTATACAATTAGTCGTGTAAAAAGTCATGTAAGGATATGCAAGAGAGTCATGAAGAGAAGGACAAGAACACAGCCATTAATGCGAAGATATTGGCAAGAATTGATTACGATTAATTCCGGTTGGCAAAGGCTTCTACTCTTGTATATAATAGTTCGGCGTGAGAGAGATTTACTCCTCACGCAACGTCTTCTTTATTTACCCTTTACAATACATTTGTTTACCCATCTCTTCTTCGGGAAGACCATTTATCCATTGCTCAGTTCTTCATCAGCAAGACCCACGTGTAACACCTACTGCAACTAGTTGCCCATTCATCTCTTCCTAGAGAAGACCTGTCATTCCTTTGACCCATTTACAACCTTCACTTACCACCTAGATCTTTACTAGGCTATACAACGCACCCCGTGGAACACTATCAAACCCTCATCCCTGAGACTGCGGCATATTCGCGTTGGCTAGCGTTCCTGATTCTTTCGAGGGTTTCCTTAGAGGCCGTTCCGGACTTGTTAGGGCGAGCCAGGCTATGTCGGCTGTCCGATCTGTGAGGGCCCCCTACAGTTGCGGCATTTTGTATACTCTTTGCATTCCGACGTGGAGTGCATTATTGAGGTGCAGTTCCAGCATACTGGGGTGCGCGAGCAACTTTGAGTCCCATGGTATAGGAGACATCGCTTGCATTGACTCACAGTTGGGCGGGGTTGATGTCGAACAGCGATTCCCGAGTCATCAAATAGTCGGAAGCCTGGTCTAGAGACGGACGCTCTTTCGAAGTGAGCCACCCATGTCTAGTAGGGGGACTCGACTCGTCCTTTTCCATGAGGGCGGACCCTTACCGGAACTTTGTTGTTGACTCGGGTGATTTCATCGGCCACCATCTCGTCGGTGACAATTACTTTTCCCTGAAGTGTATGAATAGCGACTGGAATTGTCGCAATACGAAGGGACACTAGATCTGAGGCCTTCTCCAACTTTACGTCTACCTGGATGAACGATGCAGCAGAGTTTACAAGAAGCTATCGTGCTTCCTGGTTTTTGGCTCGAAGTGCGAAACCAGTCATAACACGGTATACGTGTTAAATATTTTGTGAGGGAAGCTCGAGCACTTTTGCTGCCACATCTCGCACCCCAGCCGGTGAGAGAGCGCGCTAGACGTGGTCTTTGCCGATGCGAAGAAACAAACGATCTTCTTGGGCGACTATTGTAGTAGCCTTTTCTAGAGATTTCGCTGATACGGAGGGTTTGTTGTGGACTCGAACGTCTTTCATTGGTGCCGCGGGCGTCTTGAGTCCAGTAAGGGTAACTGTCGCCTAGTTAGGTGTGACCTGAGTCACCTTGGCCTGGGTCGCTTTTTGTAGCAGCTCTGGCTGCTTTTCAATGGTTTATTCCAAGATCTTCCCGCCATGATTCTGGCAGTTTGGTCGTGGGGGGAGGTTGGGAAGGATTGTTCCTGGTCCCGACATCATGAATTGAGCTATTGCAGCTTGGAGGCAGACTTTCATGGAGTCTATAAATTGAACGCTCGACCCTTTGGATAGAGGTGAGAGCGCATTCTCCACACCATTGATTGCAGCGGTGCAAATAGTGAGATTAGTTGCGGTCTGGGCCACACGCTGTTCTTCGGCTTCAAGTATGGCTCGAAGCTCGAGAGGACAAGTCGCGGTTTTCTTTGAGCTACTATCGCTTCAAGAAGTTTCATTATTACCAATTTCCCTCGGAATGGTATCCGGAGGGGTTGTGGTGGACGCGGCTTAGTCGGCCTTTTTTGCGTCAACATTAAATGTCCGCTTCATGGCCGGCACAGCAATCTTCCTTGTGTTTATATTGAGGGGGGCCTCTGAGGCCTGACCGTATTCCGGCTCCTGTATATTCCACCTCGAGCTTTCAAGACCCTCTTTAATATATTGGCTGATGGCTGCATCACCCATCTCAACATCTGGGTTTGTGGAGTTCGAGTCTTCTTCGAAGGCACTTATCCTCTCGGCCATGTCCAATTCCATCTTTTGCCCGTCTATCGAGCTCAATGGTATTCTTTTGCGTTCCAAGTGCTTCTTCAGCTTTGTATTCATTCTGTCCTTAATTCTTTTATGGCGAATGAGTCGCGATGATTTGGCAGGCCCCGGAGACATGTTGGAGATCTGGGGTCTTGCTGCTTTGAGAAGTCGAGTTAGTGTAAATGTATGCGGATCAAAGGGTAAGGGAGATGAGTATAGGGTATCTCATCGATTTTCTCAAAGTTATTCAGGAATGGTGGCACCGGTCATGTGTCATAGTTAGATAGCCGAATACACTAAAGGAAATTAAATATATAAATAAAACGAACACAGCCTCATATATTTTGCTAACTGTCCTATTGAATCTTTGACTATCTAAGGATAAACAGGTACTCTCTGTGTAGAGGCCAACGATATCTATGCCTCCCATACAGCTCCCCTCAAACAGTACCACCCCTCACAAGTCCTCATTCAATCATACACTTAGAGGAGCTCTTTGCATTTCATTATCTCCCCTCTCCAGCCAACAAAACGATGGCCATTTGCGGGTATATGGCAGCCGGGAAAGTTTTTAAACACCACTGGTTGCGGAGCTCTCCTAATATCGACTTTAGGACTAAATCCGAAGACATAGTGCCCCTTCTGATGCGTTCGAAGAGGCCGGCCAGCTGAGCGCTGCAGACTTGTGGGTACCTCGGGAAATTTACCCTCTGCCTTTCTAGCCTCCTTCCAACTCCTTCCCGAAGGTCGAGCTAAAATGTCAGAAAAGTCTTGACAGAGCGTGATTGCTATATAGTTGCTCATCTTGACTTCTCTTGTGCCGTCTGGGGCCTTTGTGAGTGCTGTAGACTCATCGATAATAGAAGTCCTCCTGCCTGATTTGCTGAAATCTCGATCTTGGCGCCCACGAACTTTCCAAAGTTGAAAACCCCTCAAAAATGTCAGACCCAGCATTTACTTCAGAGAACAGTTCCCCCTCTAGCTCCACATAACAGCCGCCTTTCCTTCCTCAATATGTATAACCTCAGAAGAGCATCAGTCCCCAATAGACTAAGACCCCAACTTTGTACGTTATTATTTAATTTCCTCCTTGAGGGTATACGTAGCGTCGTAAATTTGTGGTGAGTGATGGCCGGTAATCAATAAGGCAAGCTCCTGTCTGATATTGGGGTGACGCCTTTATCGGTAGTTGAGGCGAGATGATAAGTGGATAGATCAAGGTTGAGAACTGAGAAGATAATGGTGAGTGCTGCGTGATTGAGAAGTCGTCAAATGGAGATATGAATGTGTTTGCTTTCGACTTCGATCCGGATGCGATTCTTCTTGGCTATCCCAAATATGCAGAGCATACTGAGCGATTACACCGGCACCACTGGAAGGTGAAGAATTCGTCTTTACCGGCTTAGGTTCGTAATGGACACCGCGAACAAGTGCTCAGATTTGCCCTCCTAGAGCATTGGTAAAAGCTACCATTTCTGACATTAGTAATCAGTCCCTTTGCTTGCTAAAGCTAACTTCAAGATTTCAGACGACACATTCCATCTTGGATGTGACCTTTATATTCAGAGAAAAACTCCTGCAAAAGGTATAGGTCTAGATAATGTCCTCAAAAAATCATTCAAATGGGAGTAATCCCTGGAACAGCGAAACAAAAGCACAGTTCCAAAGGTATTTACAACTCAATCATCCCTTTCAAATTTCGCTCGAGATATCAACAGATACTTTTAATATGGCACTACTGGACGCTGCATGAAATTTACACGTTCAAATTTTCCTCTGTATACATGTATCTGAAAAAGTTTGTTAAATTGACTAACTGGATCGAAAAATTTAGTAAACAGCCCGGGGAATACCTTGATCCATGTCAAGAAGCGGCATCAAAGAGTCTCAAATGTTTACACCGCAATGGAGGAGATCGGGAGATGTGCACAGATTATTTTCAGTGAGCGAGCAGATGAATTAGTAGTATATTTTCAACAATCTGGATACTAACCGCCACATTCTATTAGAAACTACCGAGACTGTAAAAAGCAATGGGTACGTAAATATTTGACTTTTAAGTGAAGGGTAGAGACACTAAAAATTATTTTACGATTACGTCCATCCTGATAATATATTCATACCCTACTGACACATGTGAAAGTTATCAGACATGAAGGAAACAAAAAAGAAGGAATCCAAATCGTGGTTCAGGTAACATTGTTTGCACTTAAAGAATACGGTGTAGGAGATTCTGTCGATTGGTGTCTTTATCATTGCGCAGCTGTTTGAGTACCTTTGTATCCAACATGATAGGCGTTAGGTGCGCTAGTACATACAAATCTATATAGTCAAACCTCGCATTTCTCGCTTCGAAAAGTGCGACAGAATCACCAAGACATTTGGTTCAGCGCTTAGCTAACTGATTTAGTATTCGCTGAGACGCGAACTACGAGAAAATAGTAAAGACTGAAATATACTGAGGTTGGTCATGATAAATTTGGCTTGTTGGGTACATATCACTGAAAACTGGCGTGTGTGTTGAGCTAAAGTTTTGAGGTTTGTCATTGTTACTATTCCCCCGCGCAATCTTTCCGTACCAAAGATGGACCTTGTGAGAGACCGCCAAAACCTCAACATTTGGAATGCAATTGACGCAAAGAATTATAAACATGCGGTAAAGATAATCGACAAAAGACTTGCTAAATCAAATGATGAGTACCTCGAGGTCAGTTCAAAAATTAATAGTCAGCTCACAAGATCTGATCTGACGGTCATGTGACTAACATTGAAAATTTAATTTTGCTGATATTGCGTTCAGGCGTTCAAGCTTTATATACTCGGTCTGTCAGCCCAGTTCAAGAATAAATCAGTTATACTTCAGAATCTAGAAGAGGTGGCTTGTCGAAAACCACCTCTCTCAAATCCGGATGCCATTGAATTCTACGCCGAGATCTTGGAAGAAGTCCTCCCTGGCTGCAACCAAACGTGGGCCAAGATAGTTGGCGAACTAAAATTTCAATGTATCAAAACAACACCTAAAAAGGAGGATTTGTGTCTCAAGGGATTTGAAGCCTGTATACTCAAATATGATCTAGACCACGCCAGACAGGTGAGCTATCAGAGCCTGAGATACCTCACGACTCTTGTATCAAATATAATTTTAACTCAGCTCATAGATCGCAAATATATTGGAAAAGAATTTCCTCGAGAATCATAAATATCTTCTTTGGAATGTGACAATAATGTTTCTTCTCTCAGTAAGGACTGGTCGATTCTTGTACACAAAGGTATCACTAATAATCAAAAGATATCAGAAGAATGTATCCCAGATCAAAAGGTATTATGGGGCCGCTTAGCGTTTGCACAGATTCTCAAGCTTGCTTCTGCGACTAGGTCATGCACCGTAGGTGCTTGTCCCATTTTGAGCTTTCTCTCGTGCTAAAGATGCCTAGAACCCTCTACAACTACCAGTGAAGTCCTTGCAAAAGCCTCAGGAAATTCTCTTGTTGCACAGGTTACTAAAGGCAAATAATAAAAAAGAACAAAGTATTGAATATCTTGATGATCCCCAGCTTGGCCCAGAGTCAATAGTAGCCAAAAGTGAGTGGGAACTTTGGATACTGAAACTTAAGCTATTGGAAGAATCACAAAACTGGCAGGAACTATTTCAAACCACTATCGGATTACTTAAGCGTGCTCGCACGAAAGATCAGTTTGGAAATTTCGCCGAAGCTCGATTAAGCGACTGGATTGTGTGGGATGCTCTTACTCGCTCTGCAGTTCACCTTAGAGATCATATGTGAGACACGGGCTATTCGATCTCATTACTTCTACTGATTTGACTTATCAGCTACTTCAGCAAGATAAGGGCGGAGATAGAAGCTCATCTAAACCCAGAATTAGGCATCGAAAAAAGCTGGACTAGAAATGCATCTCTATCTTGGGTTAAACTTCACTTCGATTATATTACACCATTCTCTGACGGTCAAGATGAAAATCAATTCGGCACTTTATCACTAAAGGTTGTAATCTTGATCAAATATCTGTACGAATATGGCATTGCGAACATTGCATACAACGACCTTGGTCCTTATATAGAAAAATTGGATCATGAAGAACGTAATCAGCTCCTGATTTCTCTAAATAAAAGTAATGAAAATTCAAATGTGGACTGCGCAATATTAAGGCATATGCTTCAAAAAGTCTCAAGCCTAGATGTAGGTCAAACTTACACTTTAAGATCTCTGCAGCCTTAAAACCTAGGGCATCATAGCTTCCTTGCATGACCATTATCACAAACTCCCGTTTCGACATTTGAGGCTTTAAGATGCAACAACTGACGTATGCTAGCTTACCACTACTGATGAAATAAATCGTACTGTAAATAACTTAAAGCTCAGGTATCTTCTCTCGTGTCTTCAAACTGCTCAAATCAATCAGCATAACACCACAATAAGTGAACTTTTCAGCAGTCGGTTAATCCAAAACTTAGAGAAATTGATACAGACATACAAATCAGCGATTGAAAGTGATAGGACTGTTGTTCAGACTCGTCTACCAACAGACCGACATCCTGCTGATGACCTCGCTATTTTGGCCTCAGTATGTCTGATTAAGCTCGGATTACACAACTCTGATAAAAACAATGAATGTCTAGAGAGCAAAAAAATATCATACATGTTGCAGGCTACACTGCTACTTGAGTTTACATGGACACACTCAAAGCATAATTTCCAGATCTCCCTTTTGCTTGTGCGCCTATATTCCTATTTAGGCTGTGGGTCACTTGCGATGAGATCCTACCAACGTCTTGGATTGAAACAAATCCAGTTAGACACTCTATCCTATACCTTATTTGATAGAATATCATCTCTTCATCCACATCCCTACGAACATGTGCTAATAGGATTGAGCGACAAACGCTCTCCATCTGAACATATTAAAAAGCAGCAAAAGTTCTTCAGGAATGTTAAGCAACAGATATCGAAAAATATTGGGCTTTCATTTAAACATGAGAGTTATAACTCCATATTTGAAATAAAAGAGGTATCTGATAGGCTTTCAAGCAGTATCACCGCCATTTCAGGCGTGATCGAGGGCAGAAAGATTTCGCGGCTTGTAACCCCGGAAGTCACTCTAGAGCCTCTTCCTCAGAAATACGCAGAAATTGGTGAGTTAAACTTTCCTATTTTTCAGGCTCTAAGATAAAACATCTAAATACAATAGCGAAATTCGATGGAAAGAGACTCAGCAACAACAATGATTACAACTCATTTCCTACTTTTGAACCTGGAAATGGTCCGAAATTCTCCGAAATTTGTAACTTTCTGCCTCCTCCCTGTAAATACAGATGCCAAAGTTCTGTTTTCAGGGAACATCTTCTCAGTATTATTTCTTCGCCCGAGAAGACTAACAACGAGCATGCACGAGACCTAGAATGGCTTCGAGGGTACATATCGAACCCGCTAATTGATCGTCAATCCGAGGAGGCCAGAATGACTCACAGTGAAATGTTAGCCCACCGTATTTTCCGTACAATGACCCTAATTATTGCCGAACCATATGATGACCCTTATTGGTCTGACGAAACCTTCCAACAGCACATACGTGGGTTCAACGAGAGTCTACTAGACTACTTAGCATCTTACCATCAGCACATCTCTGAAATTAATTCTACAACTCCAGCTTTTCTAAATACGTTAAATGCGCTCTTCACTGCGCACGAAACTGGCACGGCGTTGCTGAAGTTCTGCTCCTACTTACAAAAACGCTTGAGCTATACTCATGATTCTTTACGACAAATACATCAAAACTTAAATGTGAAAGCAAAGGCACTCATAACAAAGGTAGTTGAAAAATGTACTAAGATCAAGACTGCCTTAGACGACTGTGGATGGATTGATCGGGTGCTTTTTGGAACACACGGTGAAGTGAAGATGTTAGTAGGCGAACTATTTATTGAGGAATGGGCAGGAGTGGTTGTGGAAAGCTGGAGAGAAAATATCAAAGGGCTCGGATACCTAAAGGAAGCTGAAACATGATTTGGTGCGCTAGTTCAATTAATTGCCTGATAATTAATTGGTAGGCAAAGTCTGACAGTTTTGTTGGCCATATTGAACAATTTCTCAACCAAATTGCAGTTGTTAGTTTAGGATATGCAAACAGAAGCGACCTTCTATGCCCAATGAGCGGATGAGGTACTTGCTTATTTTGAGTAGCTTCTGTAGCGAAAATAGAGAGTGGATCACAGATTTTCCTCTTCCATAGCTCGCTTTTCCTGGACTCGTTGTATTAGGGCTCGGCGCTCTTCTCTCAGGGTAACAAACACCCAAAACCATGCTATCATTTCGATAAAAGCCCATGTAAAAAATATCCGATTTTTAAAACCTTCGCCCCAAGATGATGCGTTATAACGGGACGATGTGAAGACAGGCGAGGAGGGTGAAAAAGCGTAAGAATAAAATGTGAGGATGAAAAATAACAAGAGACGAATGGGCGCTTTAAATTTTCGCAAACTATTAGTTAGCGGGGGTTGTGGTAGAAACTCATACGTATCCCGCGAGGGGATTAAGGGTCAGAGTACCTTGAGATCCCCAATGGAGCTGTACGATTTCTTCGGGTTGCGATATTGCAACTAGGTCGCTTAGACCAATGATTAAAAATAGGGCGGCGAGGAAAGCAAGCGGAGGCGATTTAGTCTCAAATGAACGCGTGTAAGGCTGTATATGGCTCCCTCAATTAGTGTTGAAAACTATAAACGAGTACGCAGTCGCGCAGGATAAATATATTTCGCGACGTACCAACTTCATCGCTTCCCCAAGGATGAAGACGAGCGTTTGGTCAGCGATGACCATGGGTGATGTTAGGAAGAAAAAAGCCAGAGTGAGGTGAGAAAGAGAGAGTGAAATTATTAAATTGGCCGCAGAAACAATAGCCATGATTAATAGATTGACTTGAAGTCAGTGTTTGGCAACTGCGAAGAATTGGGTTTAGAAAACAACAACGTCATGATACGCTTCACTCGGTTAACTAGCGTTATCCAGATATTTTTTATGTATTGTTCTCCGGGATTCACTTCTAGTTAGCGATTTCTCAGGAGGACGAGGGCCACACTCGTGTCCGCAGTAAGCTCTGCGAATCTGGACATGGAAAATTATCCGAGAGTCGACTTTGGTCAAATTTCGTAGTGATGAACAAGTTGGCCTAAAAGGCAATGATTCGAGATTCCCTATTACATCAGTTTTTCAGCCCCGATATTGATTCAGACCAGAGCTCAGTCAACGTTATAAATACGACCTTGTACAACCTTGTTTCAATGACCACACCTCTCATCGGCTCATTCTTTGGCCTTCACATATCCGCCTACATCAACGTTTAGACCCACAGGAGGAAACTAATCGTGGTGCACGAATCTGGAAGAGGATTTTCGAGATGGACGTGAGAGGTAGAAGGATAAATAGGCAAGGTGATACAAGCGGTGGATATGATCTTGGAAAGAGTTATGATCCGATTTCAGAAAGGAGTTTTGTTGCCATCATGAGGATGGACAGAAAAGAATTGTGGTGGGACAGTTTGTTGAAAGCAGGATGTAGAATGAATTTTCCAGTAGATGAGCGAATGTAGTTAGTCTATCTGGTGATAAATAGATATCCAAAGATGAAAGCATAGTCCACATGAGAAGTAAATGCACCTAATTATCTACATATCCAATTTGCTCTATAGCCAAGCCTATTTAATTTCTTGTGCGCTCATATAATACGTACCGATATTCTTTGATCCTTAAGCTCTTCCTAATTAGCACGACTCGGGGGACTTTTCTCAACAGCTGTCAGTGGTGTCGCCTACCAACCTTCAGCTCTCGCTGTAGAGTCTGCAGAGCCGAGATTGAGTAACAAAGTCCTCACTTCCATGAGGATTCCTAATAGCTTTCGCGGTCTATATCGTCTTCACCTCGACACAACCCTCCTATCACCACTAGCATCAAGCTAACCATGATCAGATCAGATGGTAGGGTCGGAGCCCTTCTCATCACCAACACTTGATCATGGAGGAAAAGTCATCCAATGAGTTTCTAGAGCGTACCCAGCACCCGATACAGAGATGACGGATTGGAACAAGTCGCCCTCGGATGTTACAAAGAAGGGAGATATAGATGAATATGCGCACCCCATGTGGTGCCGGTGTCTAGGCCTCGCCTGGCTGGGGCTGAAGGTTTTCGAGACTTTTTGCCGCGCTCGCAGTTTTATTATGATTGGTATATGATTTTAAAACGTAAGTTTGCGCTGGAACATCATAGGTAGTTTATGGAGAGATATCTTTATTAATGTGCAGAAGTGAAGTTACTATGTTGATTATGTGTTCGGATTAGGTCCTGGTCACCGATTTCTAGCCTAATTTTGCTATGTTGCAGACTACTGTTCCAATTATTCATGGGGTCATCATCAGGGTTGTGAGTAGTTTCGGTTTTGGTGTGTGTTGTTAGGTTGATACCTGAGCGTGTCGCATAGTAGTCAGACATGCGACTCGAGTAGCATATGCACAGTAAACCTCAACCCCAAAATGATGATACAAATCAAGTTTTATATGCTACGTCCTGTATGGCTAGCGTGGTTGGAATATGGGGAATTTACCTGTAGATAGATAAAGATGTTGTAGCCCTCTGATAGTTGGGACAAGTCTTCCACCAAAATTATATCGGAATCAATCTAGCCTCTCATTAAGCAATCTCATGAATTTTTCCAATGTCTGTGATAACAGACAGACATATACAAAGTCGACAATCAAGTTTAAAGTTTTTCAACACACAATAGAGTCTGACCAGCTGTCCGCCACACGTCCGCCGCACATCGCATTCTAGCTACGACATTCTACTGACACAATTATCTCTCAATCACCCATGCCGCCCCAGTCCTCCGCAGAGGCTGGCCCCCCCTCCCCACTCAATGTTCGACGCGTCAAGACGTCGAAATGGTCCTTAACGAGCCGCAACCGCCATCACAACCACCCACACAACAATTTGTAGAGCCAATCTACGAGACGAGTCATCGAAGCTCGCCCCACCAACGAACTCCGTCGCCTCAAATCGTCGCGCCCGAATTCCTCGCCGAACAGGGTAGGAAATTCCAGACGCGCTCTGCTTGCGCAGAGCGCTTCATCATCGGGTTCTGCAAGCTGTTGGAACCAGTCACTGACGAGAGACTTCGAAAACTCTTTGATCAGGACTTACTGGCCCTTCAGGGCATGTTATCGGAAATTCTATGTGGCAAACCATCTCAAGCAGACGCCTACGCTCCTGCAAAGGCTGCAAGTGGCCATACTAATCCATCTAATCCGGCTCAAGTTACAGAGCCTCCAAAACAAAGCCATGCAAGCGTCACACGTCCAGTGCTGATCCTTGCCAGAGAAAAGAACAGACCGGCACCACCAAGGCCGATAGCCACAACCGCAACTCTCCAGCCCAACCAGGGCTCAAACAAAACCAACAACAACGCTACAGAGAAATCTTGGACCCAGGTGTTGGGAAAAAGAAACAAGCCAGCAAACCAAGTGGCTCCAACCTTAACACTCAAGACAGTGCCAATGAGGCCCGTCTCCGCGCCGAAGCCTAAAGCTCCAGCAACAAACCTCCAGCGACCTGACGAGCGCGTATTCTTGCGCCTCAGACCTAACCACCCGTGGAGACATATGTCACCCCACTTCGTTAAAATAAGCTGTCGGTAAAAGGATCAAATTTGGGTAGTGTGAATTGTTCTATGTATTTGCGATATTCAGGTTGTCGTTAGGACACTGGCAGGGGTCTGATTTAGCTCATTAACGAGGCGCTTGGAGTAGAGGAAGGAAGGGGAAATGGAGAAAGAAGAAGAAGAGAAAACGTTTTATGTATTTCGAGATACCAGTTAATTGACATTATTCACCGACTTCGTGACAGACAGCTGACTTCGTGACAGCACCCAATTTGTATTACTTCCTGTTTTACCAACATAAGCCTAGCTAGCAAGCTGCGTATGGCCAACTCGACAATCAAACAGGTCACTGTTGTGAACTCAGGGTTTGCAATACAAGCCGAAGGGGAGGGAGCTAGAGGTGCACTTCTCTCAGGAGGAGCCATCTTAGACAGTTCTGAAATGAAATTGGAAGCCGCCACCAATTGGATATCAGCCCTGGCACCGAATATGCTAGACAAGCATTATACTCTGGAAGGGCCCACCATAGTGACACCAGAGATGGTAATAGAAGAAGCAGCTCTCAAAACAGGAGCTAGACCAACCCAGGCTCGTGCTTTCGCAACTAGCATGGCCAGGCCGTCAACAGACTGGATGTTGCACTTTGCAACAGGAAAATATTGTTATGTAACTGTCATAGTTGGTATAAGTGTGTGAGGGTCCGGATAGAGCACGAGCTAGGAGATGACGAAGTCAAATCAAATAGATATTCAAATCAGGATTATAATATAAAGGATTCTAAACTAGGGAAGAGAAGGGAAAGAAAGCATCTACAGATCTATAGCTGTACATAATTTACACCTGGCCCGTGCGTTCCATACCGGGTAACTCCTTATACTACAGACTAATCATTATGTCATTGCACCCCTACTCATTACTATGATGCAGGGCCGTTACAGAGTGCACCCATGTCCGAAGTACAAGTGCAAGTATGCAATACAGGGATTAAATAGTCCCAGCACGACTTATTAAGGTCAGAGCTTAGAACTGAGTGTTACTAGTACAACGCAGTGCAGAATATGTTACTCCGGTTACTTGAGAATGGGCTTTGTTATGGGTGTAGATAATTTACATATATATCATCCTATCTATGGGGCATAGACTATTATTGAATTATTATCTCTCAACTAGTCTCACATTCTTAGTGTCCGATTATCTCTTTCTGTTCATTCGACGTTATCCATAGATTATACACTATTCTATATCCGCTCATAACCTAGTCACAACACATAGCCCATACATCTACATTAATTGCTAAAGCTATCGCATCTTACACTAATAATGAAGAGATCAATGAAGACCTATTGGCTATATATCAG